GGGGGTGGGGGGGTGGGGAGGGAGAGCTTTTGATGAGAGCTCGGACAGGTGTTCGCTCTGCGGCATCGCGAAATGGAGCCGAAGAGTCGCAGTCTCGTGCAAATTATTTCGTGAATACGAATATACCAGTGCTGCAGTACGTAGCGCGACACTCAATGCGGATATCCGTGATTTTAATGCCGAGGATTCTCTTGATGAGACAATATCATGGCAATTTTTAATGACAAGAATTTTCAACTTTAGTCGCTTAGACGCGAATGATGGTTTTTAAATGGTGCGTCAAACAATATATGTAACATCGACTTCGCAAATCCCGAGAGATAAGCAGTGGCAAAGAGGCAATGTGCCTCTTACCTTTCCTATGGCTTATAATTTACGCGCGATTAAATAGAATTTTCTATTACATTCGAATAAGTAGGAAAATTGTAGACAAATGTAAATGCAAGCTATAACGAGAGGAAAAGATGAATGCAGGAGTTTTGGATGAATAATGACATTTGTTTACAAATTATCTAAAATTCACAAATAAAAATGATTTTGTGTTCATTTAAATCGTTCGAATTTAAAGACCATAAAATTTAAAATAAATTGTCAACTATGTAAATTTTCAAGCTCCATTCTATGCGCGTGTAGTTAAGAGATTTATATGCAAATAAAATACAAACAATTACATATCAGATTCTTTTAATATTATTACATTTATTATTTAACATAATTTTTATAATATTACAAAATAATGCTGTATTGTATTAAATAATGTGAGATATAAAATTCTGCTATATATAGGAAAAGAATATTTATGGAAAAAAGTAATCTTCAGGATTCTAAATAATTATAGTCCCTCAGATTTCTGCTTTTACCATTATAATCAGCTTATATAAATATTGTCTAATTATCTATAATATATATTATATATATGAACACATTAATATCATTTTATAGCTTCGTGAACATATTAAACAAATTGCAATGTACAATACAGGTTATTACAAATTATTAAATACTATGCGTACTTATCTATAATATTTTCTATAGAAAATAATAAGATACGTAATACCTATAATAAGTAGAAACATTGATATACGTGTGTGCGCGCGCGTATTCTCTTTTTGTTTCTTAGTATTTTAGTTATTAAAACATGACTCCAATAATAATGTATTTTACTATTTTGTTACTACATGTGCTCAATACGTTAGACTTATGCGTGATAGCAAATTCACAATCAATACCTCTATGGCGCTTTATTGTCGATAAACAAGTATCAACTTTTAATTAGAAATACGTAAATTCATTTGAAAATTGAATAGATGGCAATAAGCTGTAGTTGTGAAAAATAAAGTCAATTAAGTGAAATAAATGATTTGAATTTTGACAAAGACACATCTAACAAATTAAATTATCTTTAGCTATTTGTAAGCCATTGACAAATATATTCACTCTCTGCTGCGACTGATGAGAAAGTGCGAAATTCAATTGCATTGGGTGTATCTATTAGCGGCATATCCGTGAAAACCAGCGATAAAAAATTTCTCTCCAAATTGCCGGGAAAATACATAGTCGGCAATTAGAATGAATTAATTGTAAATGGTGATTATATAGAATTGCTGAAAACAAAAATGTCCATGTAGGTCGATTTTGATAAACTCATCCATCAAATCAAATACAAATTTGCCCAGCTTAATTTATTCTCGATCAGAGTCGATTTAAAATCTCAGCCGAGGCGGCAAGCAGCCGACGAAGCCCACTAACGAATACATTTATAATTTGCCGCTCCATTTATGACAATTAGAGCCGCCGGGGTAGAAACACTGAAATTATCCCGCGGGCTTGCACGGGCTTTTCAAAGATAAACGAAATTAAGTTGGTAAACATCGAAATGAGAAGAGGTAGAGAGAAAAGGTTACGCCCGAGGCTCGCGATGACATCGTCCTCTTCTTTGCTCTTTCTTGCGTAAGGAGAAGCATTTGCACACGATAGGAAAGCTTAAAGTGTTTAATTTCTCTCCCCCTTTCAAATCCATTACTATTATGCTTTAATTTTTTAACCGAAGCTTTTATACTCAAATATAGTATAATCGCAAACAAAAAATTTCTCAAAATGTTCTGTAATTTTAATCATTCGTTTATTCTCAAATTTTAATACATAAATATTTATCGTAAAGTATACTGATATTTTTAATTTAAAAAAATGTGTAGTTTATTACAATACACCATTGGGATTCACAATTTTTTCATATAATAATTATTCAACTGTTTGAGAAAAAGAATGCTTAAAAGCTAAGTAAAAAACAAAGGAAAATTAACCAGAGAGGTATAAATTATTTCGTTAATGCTAAAATATTTTGGTACCATTCCAAATTCAAGCGATTTATTCACTTTGCGCAAAGTAGAATGTAAGATGCGAAAAAACAGAGCTGACAGCGTGATTTATTAGAGATTTGGCTTGAAACGAACAAGAATCCACAAAGCTCGACAAAACTTACGTCTACATTGTACATGAAGGAAAACCAAAAGCGCGGATACAATAAAATACACAGACAAGCCCTAACTTTACTCGGGTCGAACTTTCGAGAACGAGACTGTGGATCAGCATCCAATGTACCGGCACATCCGATGTGACGGATGAGATAACGGCGGGATTAGATAGTGCCCACGCTTACCGTGAAAATCTGATAAAAGCTTATCTGATCAAGCGACGGGTGATTGCGATTTATCCGGTCTCGATACTCCGCTAAGCAACTAACTATCGACTCCCTAATTTTCCTGACTTTATCACTACAGACGCTTCTTTAAGCCAGTCTGTGACTGTCTTTTGCGGCGGCCGATGTCGACAACGAGACTGATCACAAGTTATCCTTAGTTAGCGAAAGTAAAGGCAAAATAGCTCTCGAGTAGTTAATGACGTGGACTAGAGTGCGAGTCGACCTCATATTCGAAAATATAATATTCGATGTGTGTGGTGCGCAGATGGAGAGCGAGTCATTGCCCAATAATCGCATTAATAATCGAAACTTTTTTTCTTTTTTTTTTTAATAATATAGTAGGCTTCATACTCTGATTAGCTTCTTTCTTATTTCGTATCTGATTATCAATATCAGCTGGTTAACGAATTCTATTCATCTCCGGCTTTATCAAGAGGCTGCATTCGATGTTTCATTAAAAATTCACACAATATAAGCGTATTGAAAAGTTGAATGCACTTTTCTTGCATTTAAAAAAAAAATAAATAAATAAAAAGAGAAGAAAAGAAAAAAAAAACCACCAATATGTCGACAGTAGTATAAAGAAGTTTGAATCCTAAGGGCAATAATTTGTTATTCTTCGTTTGAAGGATTTATAATTAATTTAAATTAGGAGCATGAAAAGATAATTAAGCTTGTATCAATCATCTATAAATATATCCCAGCAACTGCTATAGCAATTATTATATATACATATATATGTTGAGGTTTCATTTTATAATAAATTAAATGTAATTTGATCGAACGTAAGAATAAGACTAGGAATAATAGAGAGACTTGAAGTAGTAAACAAGGATGCAAGGACAATACCGATAAATAAATAAGAAATTCCTGTAGCTTTAAAATTTCAATAAGTCTCGAAGGTTTCTTTTTCCTTCGGTGTAAGCATCAGTTACTTTGTGAATTCGCTACGACTATATTCTGCCGACCACAGCTACTTCTCCGTGTTTACAAATACCATTTCCATGTGCATCTCTGGGTTTGTAATGTTTGTTTAAGCAATTGTCTGCATTGTGTATATTTTTTGCCTTTATATCGGCTTTCTCTTCCGCCTCTTTATGTTTTTATTTTCTCGTCAAACACTAGAAAATCTTTTCGTGGATTTCTCGGACGGATAAATCTGAATTTACCCTGTAAAATTCGTTCTAACATATAACTAACTGTAATATCTCTTTTATAGTCAGGTTTTATGCTCACGTTACTTTTATTTCCTCGTAAATTTTTTTCATAAATACCAAGCTCTTACTTATACATGTATTATAAGAAATATTTATTACGTATATTTGATAAATACTTAATGGATAATTAATACAATTCATGTATTTTATTTTTTATTTTAATTGAAATTTCATTACTCAAAACTCAGCAGTACTAAAAGATGTATGAATATCACTAATACACTGATAAAGCTGAGAAACATTGAATATAAAAATCTGTACTTATAAATTAAAAGTCTAAGTTATGATCAAAAAAAAAAAAAAAAAAAAAAAAAAAAAAAAAAAAAAAAAAAAAAAAAAAAATTCATTCAGTTTGTATGGGTCGAACAAATCAATTATTAAAATTATTATTACATATATTTTTTTAAAACAAAATATATCTATTAAAATATGGAATAAATAAATAGAGAATATCCATCTGAATTCTATCTTATATGTATAATTCATTATAAAACTTGGCATTTGTTATCCTACAGATATATAATTATAAATGATTAATTTCATAAGCAAATTGATGCAAAAATTGTGCAAAAATTATGTATAAAATTTTAACATAATAATAATATAGTTATTAAAAACATTTACAAATTACTCATTTACGTATCATACGTTCTATATAAATACTGATATATTAGATTAATTCGGTCAATCGCCTTCCCAGAAAATCTAAAAACAACAGTTTAGTAAGACATATTTGAGCTCCAATAAATAAGATCAAATGGGTTTTTGTCGAGAGTTGTAAATCTTTTTACCATTGCAAGTAACGGAA